AGCTTAGAGCTCTTAGGGTTTCACCAGGAGGTCACTCCCCGCCCTGTGCAGCTCTGTGCACTCAGAAATGGGGGTTGTGGAGAAATAGCTTGCCATGGGAGAGGATTGCTGCTGCGGCAGCTGAGGTGCAGACCAAGGCCCTTGTTTGAGGGCAGTTTCAACATTGAGATGGGCAGGATTTTAGAAGAGGTATCGGCACGTACTGCAGAAGAACGCACAATGCTCAGAAGAGAAACCTGCAGCTATACATGCAGCTGCAACCAGCCTCTCCTGCCCTGCTGCCTTCAGGAGCCAAGAACAGCAGCCCACTGCAGCAAAACCATACGAAATACGAACAAGGTGCTGCACTGTTGAGTTAAAATGATCAAGCCAACTGAAGAAGCCAGGAATGAGCCCTGGCAATTCATTCAATACATCTGACCACTGAATGTCACCGAGTGCCCAACTGCCCCAGAGAAACTTTGGCAGCAAGGTGCCTTCAAGCAGGGACGCTGTCCCTGTCCCGCAGCGTTCACCCAGGCGGCTGCTTGTCTGCCTGGTGGCAGCGGGCTCCGCTCACCTCTCAGACCCGCCTCCTGCAAGGCTTTATGATACAATATATTACAAACAAGACCTAAATATAGCTCTGCAAAGGGCTCAACTCCGCCGCAGCGGGAAGAGGAGAACAGGGACTCGAGATCTATCTCCAGCTGAAGGCAGAGGAGGCAGGTGGGCCAGAAAGCAGGATGCAGGGGGTTCAGACGCCGGCATCCTTGCTCGTACAGAGGAATATTCCTTCTGCTTCTCTCACCGAATCCACTAATTGGCACCCAGATCCACTGCACTAATTATGAGCCCTCAGTACCGCATGTCCCCTCTTCTGCTCAAGACTCAAGCCAAGAGCTACAACCATTTTGGCCAACCTAAAGCGAGGGCAAACACAACAGTGCCTGCCAGACTTGAAGGAAACGGCTGCTGTCAGGATCGCCAGCCCTGGCAGGTTCCCCCCTTCCCTCCCACTCACCCCCATTTTCTCTTCCAACCTGAGGCGCGTGGGTACCTGCTCACTTCCCGAAGGCAAAGCCTTACCACCCAGCCTCTGTGGTTACATCTACCTTCACGTGGCTTCTTCATGAACCGGCTTACTTCCCTCTACGCAGACCTCAGCTCTTCGTGTCCGAGATCTCCCCGAGGAGCATAGCCTGAAGAGCCGCGATCTGCATCACTGCCGCGAAGGGCCAAAGCCCTGAAATACTCCTGAAATATCCCAGCAGCAGCACTGTCACGCCAGCCACGTGCTTTGGCAGCAGCGTATTCACATAAGCAGCTATGAAGGCCAAGCGCATCCAGCAGCTAAAAAGTTTATCATCTTACACAGCTCATTTTTCTAGGCCTGTGTTCTGATGGACTTTTGCATGGTGTGAACAGCAAACACGGCGGTATTGTAGCTAAAAGGGGCTGGGGATACAAGCAGGCAAGGCTCATCGGAACAGTCTCTTTCAGCAAACCAGCAGATAAGAGCTGGAAAAGACAGAGGAGCTTTCAGGCACAAACTTTTCTCCAGCTCTAGGTTTTTCTGTTTTCAAGCTAACTCATCACCTGCTATGGGAAAGAGAGAGGATTGCAAAGGGTGAAATGTGATAAGGCCACCAGTTCCCATGAAAAACAGAAAATTACAGCCCATGGAACAGAGGAAAGCGGAGCACTGGGAAAAGCCATGTCCCCAGACACCATCGTTAAGTCTAACAGGCTGGAAAACAGAGTTATTCATTAGAAGAGTTGTGGGGAGCAACAAAGACTTTGCAAAAGTCTCACCAGCTGTGATAAACTGTGGACCAGGACGAGTAAACATAAAGCAAAGCAAGAAACATTCCCATTTCCAACTTCTTCCCCTCCTACAGGTTTTTCCAGGGCCACCCGCTGCAGGGTGACAGCAGGGGCCGAGGCGGGATGACTTTCCCCTGGTACAGAGAAAGAAATGAGCCCGAGGCAATTCTGGAAATTCACTTATCTCAACCTGTAATTGAGAAAGCTATTTAATAAAGTTACTTAAACCCTGAGCAGCTCCGAGCTGTGCAGCAGCTGATGAATATGCATGTACTGGGATTTACATTTCGTGGCAGCGTGAAGACAGGATGTCAGGCAAATGAGTTATGAGAAATGGTGCCTATGCAAATGTTCGCTCTGCTGTTAACTTCTCACTGCAATCCTCATCCTTGAAGCCATTTTTGTCATTCTCTTATTTGCATTGGAAATGTACTTACAAAATAACATAACGTTACAGAAATTGGTCCTATTTCTATGTGGACAGGATGCATTCCTAAATACATCTGTAAGAGAGTGGAGTCCTGACCTAATGGCAGACAAAAAAAAAATAAAATAGAGAAGTTCTGCCAAGATCCTGTCAGGCCATGCAATTTTGGAGTTCTCAAAAACCACATCTCCTTCATTTAACTTCCCAGCCCTTACCTGAACAAGGCTTGTGATTCGACAAAACGCCACAGACCTGCAGGAACAGAAAAGCTGCTGTTTTTCACCCACAGTTTCATTTTCATAGTTTCGTGCTTTCAAAAGTGGGACCAGGAGCCCAGGCCAGGACAGCTGATAGCTGCCGCTTCCTTCAAGACAGACTAGGAAACCCATTCATTCAGGTTTTGGAAACTTAAGTAAAATGGACTGAACAGTTAATACTCCGGATTCTCTCAAGTTAGGAAGAGGCCATGTAACCATAAGGTTAAAAAAGCAAGGCAGAAGTGGCTCCGGTTGGGTTGGGCTCCAGGTCAGGGACATCCAGCATTTCCAGTGGTCTTTGACTCCCAAACTGAACACAGCCATCCCTAAGTCATGCTAACGGAGGAAAAGCATTGTAATGTTTTAAAAAGCCATAGGTGCCTCATGCAGGAAGATTTTCAGATTCCTTCTGCTATTTATGCACCCAAGAAGCAAACTCAGTCTAAGAGGAGCCAGGGGACAGAGTGCCGCTGTCCTTCAAATGCATCCACTCAAGAAAAGGCTTTACAAGTAAGGTACTCCTCCACTTGGGATGCACCTGGGGCAGAAAAGTGAATCATTTCATGAACTTGGGTAAACCAGCGAGTTGCTTAATGGCTTTACTAACTGCTCTTTAAAGATGCCTTTCAAAGTGAACTGCTTTGAAGGCAGAGCCTGCAGTAGCTAACAAAGATACAGCCTGCTGTCAGGAACACAGAATCACCGTAACATAGTTTGTCATTTATGTCTCTTTTAAAAGCTACCTCCCTTCCAAACTACAGAGTATCTTCAGAAGAACCACAGGTCACAGTCAATGCCGGTTTTATTATGCACTCTCTGATCTGTTTACAGTCAGATTTTACAAGTATGAAATAAGGTTATACTTTGTCCTTTTGCATGTAAACGCTTCCAGAGCAGACTGCAGGCCTCAAGTTCTTCAGGCGGCAATCCTTTACATGATTTCAGTACATAACCACCACTGTCATTCCATATGAGATACTGGAAGTTATACCACCAAAAATTTTAGCAGCTTCAGAAGCGGTTTTCGGGTGTAGCCCGTAACATTCATATTTTCCCCACAGCACTTTACCACATTTCTCCATTTCCTCAATTTCAACGTGCAAACTACCTTGTTTTCCTCCCTGTCCAAAGCAGCATAGTTCGCAAGGTTCCATGGCTGCTACAAAAACGTGCCCATAAACAATGCTCTTCTACAAGCACGCACAACTGTTATAAGGCAACGAGATTAAAAGAGAATTTCTTAGGGTTACTGCAGCAGATGTACGCTTTCAGAGCAAGCAGCACATATCAGTTATAAAAAAAACGCAAGAGTTTTAGGGCAGTGAAATCCACGTTTTCTCTAATGTATGCCCTTGTATTAAAAGTTTTGAGCGCGCCATGAATACCCCCTCGGACAGTCCCTAAACACGGGGGGCGTTGGGGTTAGTTAAGTGACCACTGGATGTCACTATTGCTTTAACCATCGACATCAAGGCAGCCTTACCCTGGCAGCAGGTTGGAAAGTTACCCCAGAAACACATAATATATCAGCGTGGACGACCAGGATGTCAGAAATAAATTTACAGCCACTTGTTTTCACTACACAGAAGTTTATTATGAAAGTTAAACATACAACACAAAAAGTAGCAAAAGCAATCTTGTAGCTTAAGGCAACTCTTACAGGAGATGAATTCAAGAAAGATGATGCAACTTCAGTTTAAATAGAAATTATGAAAAATATCAAATTGCATCAATAACTTAAAATGCACTTTAAAAAGTCTGCACTAACCAGCAGAGGGTAAGGGCTTGTGATCTTAATGCCAGCATTAAGATATCGAAAGCAGCAGAATGCTAAATGATGATAGGGAAAGTTCAGTATTTACACAAAGACAGCAACGTTAATATCTGATAGCATAATTTCCTGTGTACTTATGGTTTAAAACCACTGTCTGAAACGTTAGGAAAACCTTTTAAAATAAATCTTCAGACTATTCCATCAAAAATACACAGACGGCAGAGAAGATCGAAGGCTAGGGATGCGTGCGTATGCGTGCGTGTGTCCCTTAAATAACTCACTGCAGAAACACTTTAGAAAAATTATTTCTTTGGGGGAAGAAGAGCAAGAAGAATACGTGGCCACAGAGTGAAAAAGGTTATCTTTCAGGTGAATCATATTTAAATTGAAGTATCAAAATATTTCTATTTGATGACATTCTCACAGTTTACAGTTATTGACATTTTAAGTGAATGTTAAATATTCATATTATTAACATACAAAGATTCTCCTTCACATTGACATCTGCTTACATTTTTGCAAGACCTCTTTTGCATCAATTGTTTTGCCATTAATAAGGAATGTAATTATCCTAATTATAGAATTCAACAGAGATTTAACTGTTCTAACCATACAGAGTTTCTACCTTCAAAATCATTCGTAAAATACTGAAATCAGATCACCTATTTTTAAAAAGGTACTTAAGTGACATTTTAATTAATCAGGCTGTACAGGAAGCACCACATTTTAACAAAGCCAAATGACATCACGTTTCCAATCAATTTTCTTCAAATATTGGATGCAATGAAAAACTTGGAACAAGTCCATTCACCATCACCCCAAATAAAAAGATAATTCACACAGATTAACTCATCCCAAATCTTACCCTGTTAGAAAATGCAATATATACTGCAATGTAGTCTTAATTTGCATAAGATTTAATAGAAGTGTCCTATGCACAGTATGAGATTTTCTGCCCACAACCTCACCTCAACTTTTCACCATTCAGCACAACTTTACAAAAAGCCTAAGATATAAAATATACTTAAAGCAGCTATCTTAAACATGATTTAATACATATCACCTTGGCAGCTGATCACTTTTGTTCCCAGTTTAACATGCTGTTGAGTCTGATTGTAGAGTTGCAGTATCCCTTTTAAGAACTATTTAAAAAAATCCCTGAATAAAACAGAAGCCAGCCTGCGACTTCCGATGAGTTTCAGTAAAGTACTATATACAGGGGTATAATAACCACCCAAAATCACTTGATACAGAATAAAATCTAAGACAGATACTGGGGCAGAATGCATGAATGCAGGAAAATATATATATTTTAAGATTTTATCATTTAAAAAGTGGAACCAATGAATTGTTAGCAGTTAAAAGAATACTGCAACTGTAACATTTACAAACCCACAAAGTTCGAAAACTGATTCCAACAGCTCTGATTCACTGGGTTTAGCTTGGAAATAATGCAAAATAATGTCAGCAGTTTTAAGAAGGTCTTGCAAATTTAGAAAAAAAGAAAACTGAAAGAAAGATAAGAATGCGTATCTAAAACAAAGCAGGAGCACAGTAAGGACAATCAAAATTCCAAAAGCCCATATTAAAAAAATTAAGCTTGGAATGCATTGGCTTCCAGCAGTTGACCAAAAAAAAAATAAAAACAAAAAAAGAAGTTTTAAATCTGTAATATCTTGACCTATTTTTAAGTGACAATTTTTATTACAGTTGAGAAAAATGGTTTTATAGCTGCATACGTTTCCATTTCACTAAAATAGTGCCAACAAAAATAAGTTTGCATAGAAAAACAAAATTTCAAATTGCCACTGGCTACATGCTTAAAATGGGAAATGCAGATATTGTAACATAAACATAGTGCAAACCATGGCAGTTCAAGATGATTTTGACTGCCGCAGGTCAGGAAACAGACCATAGTATACCCAGTTATCACAGTTTCTGGTCTTTTATTAAATCCTTTGCCAAGTAGAAGCAATGCACGTGTGCAGACCCATGGTACGCCTGCTGCTGTTGATTAACGTAGTTTGAGATCATCGCCACTTCCTAGGTTAGATCCAGGACTAGGGTCTTGTTGTCTTCTTGCCTGCATTAATAAACACATATTTACAGTCAAAAAAGTGACTTAGAAGTTATCAGTTTAGTTCATTTCTTAAGTGTATTAAGCACATGACTAAGACCATAACCAATTCTAAGGCAGGAACTTTACATTTCAAACAGTAACCAATGAATTAGTTCGTAATATCAGAATCATTCTCTTTCCCCCTCAATTCAATAATCGCCCAGAACCAACAGGAATCTCAGAGGAGGGCAGTGGATCCAGCAGTCGGGCACCGTCCTCTCTCTGGAGGGGCACGGAGCACTGGCGCTGCCTCTCCACCCAGCCTGGGGGCAGGCAGGGCTGGTGCTCTCGGGAGCCAGCGTGCACACACGCCCGTGCACACTCAGACTGCCTCGGAGGCTCTTCCGCAGCCAGGCTCAAACATCACTTTAACAATCAGCAGGAGACTTCCCGAATAGTTAGGCAACAATTTTGTGTCTCTTCTTCCAAAACACATTTTCTTTCCTGGGAAATTCCCTTCTGTTAACCTTTTCTGTACATGTTTTCAGGATCAAGATTTTGGGGAGAAAGGTTACAATGCAAGATGGCAGAGTATGTTACGTCACTTTCAAATAAATCTCCCCTCAGTATTTTTATGTGGGAAACATTTATTTTAGCTTTTCCTGGAATAAAGAGACTTATAACATGGTAACACACTAGCACAATTTTATCTATAGATTGACAACACATTTTAACACTTCTTAAAAGCTGGGGTTTTACTGCAGCATACTTTTTTTCTTTGGTGCACCTGTGAAGTTAGCAATAATACAAAACTGAGAAAACTTTGGTACTTGATTGCACCCTGTATTAAAAAAAAAAAGTAACATAAGTTCTCCTTTATATAAATGATTCTGATAAACAGTTTGAGTTGATGGCATTTCAAAGAGGAAATTAAGGATGGTCAGTCATTGTAGTATCAGTCACAGTAAAAGACATTGCTATCTATTTTCTCTACCTGTACACGTGCAGGCTGCTTTCAAGTAGTACACACAAATGCTGCAGGTAAAACTTAAAAACATTGATATACTTAAATTTTAAAGCAATACTTCAATTCTGGGAATATATAATATATGCTAGCTTTTTTTAAAGACATTTTAGTATCGATACTTTTATTTAACATTTACAGAGTGAATAGCTGGCACCTTGGCCTGTAACTACCACACGACCCAAATAGTATCAGGGCCACATTCTCAGCTGGTGGAAGGCATCACTACACAAGCATTATTCGGTGGAGCTCCATTAGTTTCACCAGCTGCAATAACCTGCCACATTCAGCTCTTCAAAAAAACACTCTCCAAAAAATGCAAAACAAGTGACCGCTTCCCTTCTTTGAAAGGCTTCTCATATTTTGTCGAAAGAGGCGGGAACAGACTTAATGCAGGCAGTTGCACCACTGAAATATGCAGTTTAAGCAATGACCACGTTTACACGATCACTCTGAACGATATGAGTACTTCAACTAAACCGTGACTAACAGCGACACGAGTGCTGCTCTTAGGTGTTCCCTGGGCTCTTCTGAGTCACATTTACAGACACAGAGGAAGCCTTCCCGCCAGCGCGGCAGTCACCCCAGCTCACGGCATGCCGCTGGCTCGCACCCATCCGAAACGGCAAGCGAGCAGAGCCTGCCAGCTCTCCCAAACCCTCTGGCAGGTACTGCCAACACCATTTTCTCTAGTTTAGACTTTTCTTTCTCTGTTCACTTCTTCCTCCCTTATCTACCATTCTTCTCGTCTGCCTAATTTTATGCTCCCAGTGCAATTGGTTAGCTTCACCCAAACAGAGAACTGTTGCTTCCTCACGCTATTTAAATACCAGTTTAGTGTTAGCTTTTCCTTTCACGTGCAATGACCCCATTCTGATGCACACAGAGCTCATTCAATAAACCCCTCTAGTAATCAGCATGTTTCCAGAGAAGACAATTCCCTCCTGCACTTTCTTTAGTCATCATATTGCCATTATTGTTTTGGAAACACCCTCACTATTTTAAATATTGCAATTGCTACCTACTACACTTCTGTATCCACTACTGTTGCCAGCTGCACTTCAGCTATTTAGGGGCGAGATGATAATCTTGCTCTGTTTGGCACTGGTCGTACTCTGACTGAAGGAAACAACCTGCTTTTCCTACACGCAGAACTCTGAACATGACAACCGACATCACTGCTGGTGCACAAACCCACAGATTTCTCAGTAATCATCTGAGGAATCGCGTTAAAACAAACAGCCATAATCACATCGAGCGCCGAAGATTTTAAGTGCTGAAGGGTGTATTCCTTTCAGACCCTGAAGCAACTTTTGCAAACTGCCCTCTTTGTAGAGATGCAGAATATTGGGAGATGGCATTTAATGGAGATTTTCATGTTGTTTCCGAAAGCCAAATCATTCAGCTTTGACTATGGAGATCACCGTGGAAAAGTTAACAGGGGAAAGCCCGCACATTTTTTTTTCGTTCAACAGAAAACTAAACTGTGCTGTAAAGATATTTCTTAATACAAAATGGTTGTTCAACAAATCTAAATAGATACTTCCACACTAATTTAAGAGTTGTACCAAGATGAACAAAAGGATAACAGTTCCACTTCGCATACCTTTCTCCTATTGAACAGACTGTAACAAGATTTCTTCTTGTTTTAACTGCTGCCTCTTTCTTCTTAAAGGAAACAAAGGCATGCACTGTCTTTAAGAATTACCAAAAACTTACTTACACCAATCTAGTTACCAATTTTGTAATTGATAAACATTTTTACACTTAAATAGAAAAAAACCAGCAAGTTAATAGCTGCTATACCACTGCTCTAAAACAAGAGTTTCTTCTTCAGAAAACAAATCATATGCACAGCAATTTTATTGTCAAATTTCAGTGAAGACTCCAAGGTACAGGCATATGGTTGCATTTATGCTTTGCCTAAAGTGGCCTTTTCTTTCAAAACATATGAAAGAATTCGTATTATTCATGACCTCACTGCTACTTGTAGAGTTTGCAAAAGCCACTACTGAACAACTACCAGATTTGTCCTTTCAAGTGATATGCAAAAGGCATGACAAATTACCCTCAAATGTACTGAAAGCAGTCATTACAATATCTTACACTAGTATATGTGGATAAAGGTGTAATTTTGCATTTCAGTAAGTGGGGATTTACACAAGCAACTGCAACATGTTGGAATGACAGCTCCATCTCACTCAGGCACCCACCTGTACTTGTGCTATACTACTATGCAAGAATACGTACATGTGAAACACGCTTATTCTATCAGTCACCAACCTGCCAAGGCTCATGTGCACAGTATGTAACAACTACAACTGTACTCTACATGCTGGGAAAAAAAAAAAGTAAAAGCACCATATACGTATGTATCTAAAAAATAAAAAAACACTCATAAAAAGACAGGAGAAATCACCTTGTAAGCAGACAGCAAGCACGCTGTAGAGCATCAGGCATTGGGTGGTATTTTTGTCCAGACAATGGGCAAAATACAACTTTCTTAAGAAATGCCACAAGATCCTTAACTCTCACTTGCAGAAGGAGTGTGAGTACCAGTATGATAGTATCTGGTAGTTCTCCTCAGTCTATTACAGGAAGCTAAAAGTTCCCTTTTACAGATGTAAAAATGGCAATTTCCAGAATTCTCTCAGTTTGGGGTCTCATACTCTCAGCATAGCTAATCCAATCCTCTGAATCGCAGTATTTGCTGTAATTTTTGAAATGCATACCTTATGATGCCATGCAGAAGCATCAGAATTACTCTCAGTGAATAATGAGCTCAGCTTCTCAAAGATTAAGGAGGCTCGCTTCAGTTAAGAAAGATGCATCTATCTTTGCCGTTGGGAAATGGAATACTCTGCCATGAGTCATGCATAATGAGTCATGAGAAAACAGTAGTTATTCATCTTACCTCAGCATATTTCATTTTTCAGTCAAATGCTGATTTTAAGTTTGAAGAAGCACTACTACCAATGTTATTCATCTGCTACTTAGTGAAAGGACCACAAATATTTGCTTGCGAGAAAAACTTGTAAATAGTACACAGATCCCACCACAATTTTTTTCTTAAAAATGAATATATTTTAACCAACACTGCCAGTTTCCTTCCAAATATCCTGAAGTGGAATAGTTAATGCGATGGACACCTAGGGAGTTTCAATACCCAAAAATACTTCGCACTCAGCTTTCAGCACATGAAGCCATGCAAATCTTCTGCAATACGGAAGGAATTACAACTGGCCACAAGCCATTTAAAACCTCTAACACTGGAGACAGTATGATGATCAACTGAAAGAACTGCAGGAACGTATCTGGCAAAAACCATTTCAAAGCCTCCTGTAACATACTAGTCTAGATTTATTCATGCTGACCTGATACTGATCAGTATGGTACCATACTAACACCACGGGGTAATAACATGCTGACAAACCAGAGGAAAAGTTATTAAAAAAATCATTTTGACTTGAGGGTAAACAAATGCAAAAAGTATCCCCTGCAATACTCTTACACCTATTCTCTTCTCAACCCTGTTATCTCTGAGCTTTTCCCAAGCCTAAATATAGGCTAACTGGTATGGGCTAAAAGTCCTATCAAGAGAATGATGCAGTAATGTCTGCATTACATCAATTTTTTTCTTAATAGATTAAGATAGCTTGAAGTAATCAAATCATAACTTAGAATTGTGACTCTTTTGGACAAGGATCATGTTGGAGCATTTACATCTGTTACTGGGGCACTTAAGTTAAACAGAATAATAGCAATTAAGGAAGGCACACAAGCAGCTCCTCCAGCAGCCAAGACAGTCAGACACCATCCTCCTCCTCCAGCCACTCAAGCCTGGCCCATGCTGCAGTTGACTGTGCTTTCAAAAGTGCCAATAAAACTGCTTAAGCTGGCTTTGAGAAAGCACCTGTAAATAACTACCTCCTTCCCATGCATGTTCAGAGGCCTCCGACATACCTAAGCAAACCAACTCCTTTTACCACATGAGTTCTTC